ATTCTGATAGAGGAATTTAATTCTTAACATAAAATTATGCAAGGAATATGCTTGAAATTGAAAGCTGTGAATGAACCATAAGGAAATCACCGCAACCAGAAAGAATAAATTTAGGCTAGAGGTGTTTTCATCAATATTTGCCAGACATGCTCACAGCTACGCTCCACCTTTATTTACTGCTCTGATGAAAACCAAGAGGGGGAGGGGGGGGGAATCATCAAAAACTAGAAGGTTAAGAATATAGCAAAGTAAAAGAAGGCACAGATCCATTCTTTCTGCTACAAAGGTCTCCCCCCACTTGCAAGCTCAAATTAGCAGACAGCATGCTCTTCTAGCTCCTGGACTCTCTGTAAATATTTGAATTCAGTAATGCTCCTTCTATGGCCTAGCAGTAACTTTACTTTAAGACAACCCCCCAATACTGTTTACAGCATCTAAAAAAAGCAAAATGTACTTAAAATTCTGGCATGGTATAAATAGAACACTGAGTACAGGGCAATGATGTAATATTTTTTCCACACAAGTGGGAATGACCTAAATGACTCACTCAGGGATCTGCCTCTTGTGAGTTATGAACCATTCCTGCTCTAACAAAAAAGTGTTATATCACTGCCTGCTTTGGCAAACATATTACAAACAGAGGATTGAGGCTACTATTTCAGAGTGAGAAAAGATGAAGTAGAACAAATCACTGAACATAAAGCGTTTGTGCAATTAAGATGCAGTATGCAAATACCTTTACTTTGCCAAGAAATCTGCTATTGCAGAAACGAAGTTTGTCTGTGTACTGTCTTATTTAAAATATACAGAGGTTCTAGGAAGTGCATTCCACCTTTCAAAAGGTTTCTATAAAAGTGTGACACAAGCTAGAAATATTAACAAAAAAGGAACAAACAGGCCAAAAGGTTTCCATAGAGGGAAAATATACTCAGCTACAAGCAGCTAATTATCCCATTCGACACAAAAAAAAGTGTGGCATTTATTATTTTTTACTCTTCAAAACATAAAAAACACTTTGGAACTGTGATGTTAGTACAGATGCAATTAAGCCCCACCTTAAGTGATCGAAACAAAACCTTAAAATACCAAAGTCAGTCTTACAAAACACAGTGTAAGGAGTCAGCCTTGAAGACTGGTGCTGAGTTAATATTTCAAGTCCTAGACTGAATTTGCTGGGTCATACACTACTGATTGGCTTTCCTGAAGCACCTGGAAAACGGGTCTGACAGTCAAACATCAGAGTAGAAAAAGCTCCCGGTAAATACCTTAAAAAATTGTCTCTGCTTTCTCACATCACTATTATATTGGTTTTGGCAACGGTATCGAGCTGCGATAAGTATGGGAGTGGCTGCATATTCCCTTCACTACTTCCTTTTGATGCAGGCCTTTCAAACAAAAATAAGTTTCACTAGATATGGTTACATTAGACACTCCTTTATTTAATTTTCATCAAACAGATGAGTTCATCTCCTCAGCTTCCTCCTCTGAAGTACATACAAAAAACGCAGTTTACAGCACCAAATCTTTGTGGAACCCATCTCCAGACTGATACCCTGAAGCATCTTTCTGAACATACGAGTTTTTCTCCATTGCCCCATTTCATTTCGTAAACCATTCTTCCAGTATTCAGTTACTCTTTAAAATACAGTCTAATAGACTAACACGCAGGCTCTAGTGGAAATACACACTGCAAACTTCACTGACTCAGGTTACCCACCATCTGAAAAGCTCATTTAGTAAAATGCAGAACTGTTATTCAGAACGGAAAACCTCAGACCAAGGTTACTTTTCTTCACAACTGCCAAATGCAAAGAGCATGCGCTACAGAAATGCAAGAGTAAACTCAGGTCAGTATCAAAAATTAAAATAGCATTTTGAGCAGCTTTTAAAAATTAGCTTAAAACATCTACACATCACAAATTATGTATGTTTACTCCCACCAAAAAAAATACAAAGTGATTTCTCAAAGGAAATTATTTTCATTCAACAACTCCTGAATTTGCAATCACATATTTATAGATAAATAATACCAGCTATTTTAATGTTGCACTCCACTTGCGGTAACTCATAGTATACATGTATTTTATTCTCTTTTTGCATTTTGTATTATCTGTTATATGAAGACAATATAGCTGCAAATTGAAGGTGTTTAATCAAAACAAGAAATAGAATGAAATTCAAGCCTCAAGTAACATTATCTTCCATACCCAGTCTTGAAACAGTTCCGAGAAGGTATGTTCTTAAGTCTTTTTCAGAGGAGCTCTAATGTTAGCTGTACATTGCATCAAGTTCTACGTATTATTAACTAATACTTTAATCTTAACATAATTATGGTATTAAAGTTTATTTGCACTTTAAAGTACCAAAATACCTATTGTTTCTACAGAATGTGTCATTCTTAGGAGTTAGTTAAGGAATCTGCTGCCATCTAGTGAGCACATATATTATACTTTTAATTAAAGCATTTTACAATGCCAAATTTAAAAAAGAAATATATAGAATTACAATTAATTTCAGTCAACTCCTTATTAACCCGAGTAATGAGGTGCTGAGCAAACTACAATGAAAAACCTAGGTAAGCAGCCTACAAGCTGAGGAGAACCGTGGAAGACATGTAACTGCACAGAGCCAGGGCAAACTGAGCCTTCTCTTTTCCAGGCTAACAATCCCAGCTCTCAGCCTCTCCTCGGACGGAAGATGCTCCAGTCCCTAAATCACTTTTGCAACCTTCTGCTGGACTTGCTCCAGCAAGTCTCTATCTTTCTGGTACAGAGGAGCCCAGAGTTAGACACAGTACTCCAGATATCTACTCCTCCACATTCTATTTATTAGCTTACACACTGTCCCATACAGTAGTACTCAACTTAGCGCTTCCAAAATATAAACTCAACTTCCCCCCCCCCCCAGTTTTCAGCTTTAGAACTTCTATTTAAGACCAGATGTATTAAAAGTTACCAACAAATAAACTCTTGGGAAAAACCACCCCACAATTTTACAGTCACAGCTTTTTCTACAAAATTTCCAGCCTTTTGCAAGATTGTAATATTCTTTGCAAAAAGTTATCTTGTTTTCAATAAATTGTAAACACCACAAACGCATCATCACCAACAGCAACACCAGCCTATTCACACAACTCAGCTGAAATAACAAAGAGAACCAGAGCAAGCTTTGAGAATTAAACAAAAAAAAAAAAAAAAACCCCACACCCCAAAACAAAAAAATCCACAGAAGACTTCAACTGGTTTCCAGACATAAACAGCATCATACCAGTACCTATAGGCAACTATGGATTGAAACAGACAGCACAGCACTGCAGGCAAATGACTGCGACAAGAAAAAAGGCTTAGCAACTCCTGCATATCAAAATTATGACAAATTTAAAAGGACTTTGGGGCTTCCTAAGCCATCAACTTGTAGTAATTTTGGAGGAAGCAAATGAGAGTAGAAACGTTAAACAATCTGACAGACAAGTCTGGTCAGTCTGGTCACCTCTCCAGGACTTGTGGCCTTTAAAAGACAAACAGCTCGAGTACTTGCGAAGGATGTTCCAAGCTACAGAATCTCAATGAAAAATGTTGTGCCTGATCTATACTACATCACAAAA